TTTTTTTAGATCGATTATCACGAACTAATTATAAAAAATTAATAATGCGTATTTCATTTTGGTCCAATCAAAATTCTTGTTGAAACTTTGTTGTTTTTTCTTTATTATTATTTTTGGTTTATTAGGTTTTGACTAGAGTTGTCAAAACGGACCAGCCCGTAGCCCGCCAAAGCACGTCATCTTGGCGGGCATGAGGAAAGTAGGCCGACTTAGGTTTGCCGTTGAGGTAAAAGTCGAATCCTTGACCATCCACAACGATTCACAATTAGTGGTGGAATAGGTCGTAGGGGGATTCAACACAAAAGATGACGTAATGACTCGGTATCTGTTAAAGGTTAAACATCTCCTAAACATGTTGGAAAACCTTGGGGAGTGGACCATCACGCAAGTTAATCGTGAAACCAACCAGGAAACTGATGAGTTGGCAAGCGCATCATCATAACTCAATGACAAGTTTGCTAAGTTCTCGTTAAAAGAAAACAACAAAACATCAAGCATTGAGACAGAAGAGCTTTGTGAAATTCAGGAGTTAGACCCTTGAATGATCCCCATTGTCCAAATTCCAATACCTGAAATAGGTCAATTACATCGAACCTAAGGATATGCAAGAGGCTGTCATTCCCGGATGTCCATGACTTCATTTCGCTTCGCTTCTAAAGTACCTTGAAGTCGAGCTTCAATTACCTCTCTCCTCTCCCCTACTACATCTCTTTTTTCCTTCACTTCGCATCGCGGTGTGGGTTTGACGGACCGGCCCGCCTGTTTTTTTATTTTGTTAACCAGTTTTAATTATTAAAAAAATATCCATTTGAGCCCCACACAAAAGCAGGTTCTGGTCACCATTTATGTCGCGGAGCCACAGATGTAGTTTTTATTTCAGTTCTCCCTTGTTTAAATTTACTTTCTTCATTGTCAACCTGCTCACCATTTGCTTGACACTTTGGATTGAATTTTCAGACCTTTTTATACGATCTTTTTATTGTGGGCTAGAAAATAAAGCCTTCACATAATCAAGCCTCCAACTATTTTTTTTGCGGTTGAGCTTTGTATCCAAGTATTTATTGGGTCTTGTACAAATGACCAAGGTTGGGTCTAATATATATAAGAGGAATTTGCACACTGTATGTTTCATTCCTAACTATATTATAATTATACACCTAATATAACAATATTTATAATTTTGCTTAAATCAACCTAAAATATTGTCAATATACCTAAAAGACGGTTAAGGTAAGTGAGTTAATTAAGGAGAAGTTACTGATTTCTCTCAGCAATAATATCTCTCCTCCAAAAACGTACCCATCACCCCGCCTACGTTCACCCATCTCTCTCATCTCTCTGCAAACAAATCCTCTTCAATTTTTCAGATCTGTCCGTCGGAGGAGGAGACATTTTCGTATCTTTCGCTGGCCCGAGTTTGTTTACTCGAATGTGAAACCCAAATCTCATGAATTTCCGGACAGCCCTTGGGAAAGGTACGTGGTCAAGTACGAAAGTGATCCTACCGAGACACATCACCA